TTTGAAATTTAAATAAATATATTCTATAGAGTGTTCTATCAGAGAATATAATGTCAGCAATCATTTAGGTCACTTTGACTTTTTCACAGTCCTAATGATGTATATTTGTTTGGAATGAGCTTTTTGTGTTTTTGATATTGTTTATCTAACATTTAAAAACATGAGAAATAAAATAATGAATATTTTAGGAACTTGTATATGATTGACTCCAAAAAACCTTATAAAGTTTTCTTCAAATTTTATTTCTATTTTTCTCAAAGTTTAAGTTGGAACTTTTTTCCTGATTCCTTATAAAAGAAGGCCCTTTACTTACAGTGATTTATAAAAATCAAATGTAAAAGTAAACATGTTTAAACATGCTTATGGGGGACTGGTGTTGTGGCCCAGCAGATTAAGCCACTGCCTGCAACACCAGTGTCCCATATGCGCGCAGTTCAAGTCCCAGCTACTCTACTTCCCATCTAGCTCCCTGCTAATGTCCCTGGGAAAGCTGAAGAAGATGGCACTAGTCTTTGTACCCTTGTCACCCATATGGCAGACCCAGATGGAGTTCCAGGTTCCTGGCTTGTCTGGCCCAGCCCCAGCTCTTATGACCATTTGAGGAATCAATCGAAGGATGGAAGAGCACTATGTCTTCCCCTCTGTACATAACTCTGCCTTTCAAATAAATAAATAAGTCTTTTTTTAATGCCTATAATCCTCAATAGTTTAGCTTTTTACCATATTTTCTTTCAACCTTGTCTATCTACTTAGCTATTTTACATCCATCCCTATGTATGTGTATTTTTGCATATATTCTTATTTACACACTGAGGATGGATGGATAGATAGATAGATAGATAGATAGAGGAGGGAGGAAGGGAAGGAGGGAGGAAGGGAGGGAGGGAGGGAGCAAGGAGAGAAGGAAGGAAGGGAGGGAGGGAGGAAGGGGAAAGAAAGGAAAGGAAAGAAGAGAAGAAAATTGGGTAGGGTCAGTGTTGTGGCACAGCAGGTTAAACTGTTGCCTATGATGCTGGCATCCCATATGAACATCAGTTTGAGTCCCGGCTGCTCCATTTCTGGTCCAGCTCCCTGCTAATGTACCTGAAAATTTTGGGGAATACAGCCCAAGTGTTTGGGCCCCTTCCACCCATTTGGGAGAACAAAATGTAGTTCCTGGTTCCTGGCTTAGGCCTGACCATTGTAGCCATTTGGATAGTAAAGCAGCAGATGGAAGATCTCTTTGTCCCTCTGTGTGTCTCTTCTTTTCTCTGTAATTCTTTCAAATAAATGAATAAATCTTGCCAAAATGATACATAGATCTGTATGTACATACATGCATTTACATACACATATTTTGCTACAATGTGATCTTTGTGTTCCTAATAAACATGTCTTAAAGATGTTATAAGAAATTTGTTCCAATGGAGAATAGTTGCAGTTATTTCCTGAGCTATTCCGTAAATGTGTATCCTTAACTCTTGTATATTGAGTGAATCAAAATTTGGCTATGCCACATTTAAAAAAATAAAAGCTAATCATTTTCTATCATCAGTTTTTATATTATGAGCAAGGATCTTTGTCACTGGTGCCATGTTAGATAGAACCAGAGCCATTCAGACAATATAGCAAATTGGTTCTTGTACTTATTGCATTGCAGCCAAGAATCAGCTCTGTAATGCTAATCCCATATTCTAGTCATTAGATCTACTGAATCCAACTGGGGATAGAAAAACACATTCATTAGGAAAACCACGTGTATATATTTTACAACATTGGGATCCTACTCTATATGAAGTTTTAGAATTTGCTCTTTGAAAGAAAGAGGGAGGGCGAGAGGAAGGGAAAATCATTATATTAAAATTGTATCTATGAACTATATTGAATCTGTTAAACACCAAAAATAAATATTGAGCAATAAAATTAACATTTTATGATAAATTACAATGTATTCAAAGTTATTTTTTGCCTTGCATATTATATGACACAGAAAAACTCTTTGGTATGTGTATGTATGTTTTGATTACTAGCTTACACATTGAAATGGACATCATTTGTTTATTTTTTTCTACATAATTTGATTATTTTATCCAGATATTTAGTAAATATTTATTATTTAGCCACTATTTAGTAGATACTACTGTTACACCCATTGGTAAAGGAGTTTGATTTCTGGCCACTGCACCAAGATGTTTTGAACCCCAGGAACTTAACTGGTTCTGTGTGCAACAAAGTATGAAGCAGATGAACAAACTGAGAAGGCAACTTTTAGCAAGATTTTATTGAAGAGAGCAGAGAGAGATGTAAAGAACAGAGGGAAAGCAGTTGGGAGGAAGGAAGAAAAAAACCATGATCTGGGGTTTTTATGCCTGTAGGAAAATTTGTAAAAGATCCTTTATGAAAAGCATTTCTTGTGGCCGGCGCCACGGCTCACTAGGCTAATCCTCCACCTGCAAAGCCGGCACACCGGGTTCTAGTCCTGGACGGGGCGCCGGATTCTGTCCTGGTTGCCCCTCTTCCAGGCCAGCTCTCTGCTTTGGCCAGGGACTGCAGTGGAGGATGGCCCAAGTACTTGGGCCCTGCACCCCATGGGAGACCAGAACAAGCACCTGGCTCCTGCCATCGGATCAGCGCGGTGCGCTGGCTGCAGCGTGCCAGCGGCGGCGGCCATTGGAGGGTGAACCAACGGCAAAGGAAGACCTTTCTCTCTGTCTCTCTCTCTCACTGTCCACTCTGCCTGTAAAAAAAAAAAAAAAAAAAAAAGAAAAAAAAAGAAAGAAAAAGAAAAGCATTTCTTGTGTAGTGAGCTCCTCCTACCCTATCTCCCATTCCTCCAATTTGCTTATGACTGTTACAAGGCAGAGAACAAGTTCTGTCTTGGAGCCTGTATGGGAGTTGGGGGAGGGAGCTGTTTGTCTTTCCCCTTAATCCCAGACTGGTCACAGACAGCTCTAGTCACCTGCCCTTCTGGGTGACCTTGGCAGCAGAGCCTTTCTCCTGACAGGAAATTCTTTTTTTGTTGTTGTTTTGAAGATTTATTTATTTATTTATTTATTTATTTCTGAAGGAGTTAGAGAGAAAGGACGAGACAGAGAGAGGTCTTTTCATCCACTGGTTCAGTTCACAAATGAGAGCAATGGCCTGGGTTAGGCGAGGCTGAAGCCAGGAGCCAGGAGCTTCTTCCAGGTCTCCCATGTGAGTTCAGGGACCCAAGGACTTGGTCATCTTCTGCTGCTTTCCCACGCACATTGTCAGGGAGATGGCTCAGAAGAGGGGTGGCCAGAAATCAAACCATCACCCATATTGGCTGCCAGCACTGCAGGCGGCAGCTTTACATGCTCTTCCACAACACCAGCCTCTCTCTCACTACACTTACCTTCTAGATCAGGCTGGTTTCTCAGCTGGGTTAAGAAAATGTTCCGCATTACAGGAGGGACCCTTTGTTCTCTCTGCCTTTTAACTATTCTAGCTTCGACTGATTCCTTTCATTATCATGTAGTTATTTTGGATTTGTTGATATTTTGATAGGGGATGCTATTCTTATATATATTCTTATTAATATATCATGTTATTATAGATATGCTAATAATCTATAAAAATATATTCTTATGAATTTCATTTGTACATTTGGTTAAATTATCTAAACTTTTTCATTTATTTCCTGTATTTTCATGTTCTAATCTTTGTGGAACATTACAAAAATAGTATCTGTATAGATTCAGATGAGATTCAGATTTCTTTTAAGTATTATGACTTTCTTGCAGTTAAGTTTGACTCTGTGTCTAAGTGTTTGATCAACTTGATGACAATAAAATGTCAGTTTTATCATTACGAAGATGAAGCCTAGAGTTCCAGGGATTTCTCATTAAGTGCCCTCTACAAATTTTACAGAATTTTCTGAATCTGCCGATTACTTTAATTGGGGTGCTTTCTACCTGTAGTTATATCTAATGATTTAATTGCTTTGTAGTAGGAATGTATTTGATCATTATGATTAAAAATGTGTCAAAATTTATTAATTGTTTGCATTATTTTTTCTCATGACAAAATTAATCTACATGCATTTCCAGACTGGCTGCCATGATGTAATTTTTTAAAAAGTATATCCCTAAAAGGGATTTTTAAGTTAAAAATCATATCAATAACCCTCAACTGTTTTGAGTCTCGTTTTATGAAGCTGGATATGATTGAAGGGATCTGAAAACCCATGGGGTGGAATCTGGAAGCTGGACTGCAAAAGGGACAGGAACACAAAAGGTCCCAGCCATTACTGCTACCCTCAGAAAGGAGCAGACTTTAGCCATTTGGATTTCCTCTTTTGAAAAGTGCCTGTTCAGATCCTGTGCCCATTTCTTAACTGTATAGTTTGTGTTGTTGTTGTTGAGTTTCTTGAGCTGTGAAAGTCCAGTTTCAATCCCTGAAATTGAGGAGGTATTTGGCATAGTGATTAGGACACCATTTGGGATGTCCTTATCTCCTGTCAGGGTGCCTGTTCCAAGTCCTGGTTCCACGTCTGATACCAGCTTCTTGCTAGTGCACACACATGCTGGAAAGCAGCAGATGACGACTCAAGGAAATGAAGACCCAAGGAAAATTAGTGTGCCCTTGCTTTGGTGTGGTCCTGCCCCAGCTATTGCGGGCATTTGAAGACTGAAACAGCAGAAAGGAGATCTCTCTCTCCCTCTCTTTCTCTCCCCCAGCCCCTTCTCTCCCTCCTACAATCTATCCATTTGTATCTCTGCCTGAATCTGTCTCTATCTCTCAAATACATATTTTTAAACAGAAAAAATGAACATATTCAATGTGTTTATCATGCCGTTACCATACATGTCCTTTGTGTATAGATGAACTAAAATACTTAGCCTTTGCATTACCTCACAAATCAATTTTTTCATGATAAAACACTTAAAAGCTACTTTCAGCAGTTTGAGAGTACACATTCCCTTACTATTAACTGTAGTCACTGTGCTCTTCAGTGGTTCTCTTGAAGTTGATGGAAGCATTTTCCACTTTGTTTTCAGCTTGATGATTCCCTGAATCAGATCCGTAAGCTCCAGAGGTCTCTGGATGAACAGAAAGAAACAAATGGAAACCTGGAGATCGAAATCAAGCACTTACAAAACCGGTAATTATTATTTAACAAAATATGTTGAAATCAAGATTAGGAAATTACGTAAGAAAATCTTGCTGTCCTTTACTTATTTCATATATTCTTAAGTATCAGTAACAATATTTTCATCAACTAGAAATATTCATGAAAAGAATATAAAAACAATATTTGTCAGCCTTATTAGGTTTTATTATTTTTGTCTAATAGATGTTGCATGTTATAGCAAAGAATTTAAGGATCACTTGATAACAATTTAATTGCTAAAAGGTACACAATTTTTGAAAGACAAACTACTAAGGCCTGCACTGTGGTGAAGCAGGTGAAGCCACCACCTACAATGCTAGCATCCCATATGACACCTGTTTGAGTCCTGGCTGCTCCACTTCTGATCCATCTCCCTGATAATGTGCCTGGAAAAGCAGCAGAGGATGGTCCAAGCCCTTGGGCCCCTGCACCCACATGTGAGACCTGGAAGAAACTCTTGGCTCCTGGCTTTGGACTGGCCCAGCTCTGGTCATAGAAGCCATTTCGGGAGTGAACCAGTAGATGGAAGATTGATTCTCTCCCTCTCCCTCTCCCTGTCCCTGTCCCTCTCCCTCTCCCTCTCCCTCTGCCTCTGCCTCTGCCGCTGCCTCTCCCTCTCCCTCTCCCTCTCTCTTTCTCTCTCTGCCTCTCTGTAACTCTGCCTTTCAAATAAATAAATAAATCTTAAAAATAAAGGCAAACAGCTGTCAGAACATATTTCACATAATATATGAAAATATATTGTATGAAATATAACATATTGTATAAAGTATCATGAAATATCTTTATTGTATAAAACTATTGTATGAAAGTATAATATCTACAATAAAAATGTAACTTGAAAACATAGATGTCGCTGGGTAGTTAATAAAAGACCATTGTATGTAAGTACATGGCTTAATTCAGTTCAGTAATTGATTGACCTTTGTGAGGGTGTCTTTTGTGTATGTGAGTGTGGGGTGCTGTGTCATATGGAAAACAGATTTTACCCAAAAGAGGTAACAATAAACTTCTTGGATATTTGCGTATAATTTATTTGATTCTTTCTAACATGCAAAAGTGAGCAGAGAGGTCATAAAAATGTTTATATTGTGAGCTGACTGAAAAGACAAGCTAAGATTTCTACTGTAATTAATACAAATATTCTAAGAAAATAATACAGTACTGTGATCATAGCTAAGGAAAGCTGCAAGCACCTCTAAAAAAGAAAAAGGGGTATTTTTGCAGTAAAATTATAGAAAAGCCCATTGCCATTGGAAAGTAGTATCTGGGGATAGATCATGCTGAAATAAAGCTGTGGTTTCCCTTTGAATGGTAGGAACAAAGCTAAGCAAAATACTGTACTTAGATGAATACTTCAATATTTCTTTGAAACCTTCATACACACAAACACACACACCTATATATCTTATGGTTTCATGTTGAAGTTTGGGTTTTCTTAAGTTTTGTTTTTTGCAAGAAAAGAAATGGGAGGGAGGGAGAGGAGTGTGAGTGAGAATCTTCCTCCTGCTGGTTCACTCCCCAAATGCCCACAATAGCCAGGTCTGGGCCAAGCCAAAGCCAGGAGCCATGAACTCCATCTTTGTCTCTCAAATCAGCAGCAGCGGTTGAAGCAATTGGATCATCCTACATTGCCTTCCCTGGCTCATGAGCAGGTAGTTGGATTGGAAATGAAGCACCCAGGACTGGAAGTGGAACTCTGAAATGGGATACCTGCATCACCAGCATTGGCTTAACCCACTGTGCTACAATGCCGGCCATGGATGTAGTCTCAAGAGAGGATAATCAAGGCTTGCCTCTATGTGGGGTGATTTGTAAGGCATCTTACTCCTTAAAGTACAAGTAAAAGTGGACAACAGGAGTCTGCTGTCCCTCAGCACTCCACTTAGATTCCACAATTCCTTTGCACGTGATCATCTCCAGATCACAACATACAGGGGAAAATCTAAACTCTCCTCTTAAGGCTTACTCATTTTACAACTTCAGAACAAAAAAAAAAAGTATGTTTTTACATTTCCACATTATATTATGCTCTTCTCCTACTTTAGAATTCAATTATTGTGATAGGCACATCAGGCAGCTACTCTGTGATCTCAATATAGGCCCTTGCTGATAAATGCCACATGCAGGGCTACCATGAGTAAATAATCATCCTAGATGCTTTATGTATATTAACTCATTTACTCTTCCTAAGATAGATCTGTGGGTCACATAAGCCAGATGAGGAAAGTTGGAATGGACAGTTCTTATGTGGACAGGATTGGATGGAGTTGCTTAGTGAGCGCTGAGTTTGTACTGGCAATGGCTTAAAAGAGGTATTTGCTTAAATAATTTTGTATCAAATATTGAGAAGTAAAATGTTCAGTTATATGTTGCTAAGCAACCAGTATGCCATAATTTAATGGCTGAAAGCAACAATGATTTCTAATTAGCCATGTTTCTGTTGAGTTAGCTGTGTTCAAAAGTATGGTTCTGCTTAATTTTGAGGCTCCATTCAATGGGACCATTGGTTAGGCTGGGATCACTCATGTCTGGTTCGGCTGGGGTATCTATGTCTGGGTCTTTCCCTTCTTATAATTAGTTTCTCATCGTTTAGCAGCTGATCTCCAAGAGGACAGAAATGAATTTTAACTTTACTCTCTAGATCCCGGTTTGCCTCTTTAATCATCTTTCCCTCAGAACAAATGGCCATTTCTGCTAGCACATTCTTTTCACAGACATCTGTTTTATAGAATTCTGGTGAACAAGAGGGGATTCTCTCTTTAGACAAATATATAGGTACATACATAAAAACATATGAACAGACATATAGATGCAGATATAAATATAGACAACAAAGAAATTCTCAATATTGTTTTTAAAAGAATTTAGTTGTAGATGCATGGATTAATTTATGGAGTTTCTATTCTGTTACAATAGTCTATCCATCTGCTTTTGTGCCAGTACCAGTCTTTTTTGATTGTAACTACCCTGTAGTATATCTTGAAAACTGGTATTGTCATGCCTATGGCTTTGTTTTTGTTGTACAAAATTGCTTTAGCTATTTGGGGTCTCCTGCGTTTCAATATGAATTTCAGCATTGTCTGAGAAGAATATCTTTGGTATTTAGATTGATATTGCATTAAATATGTAAATTGCTTTTGGTAGTATGTAAATTTTGATGATATTGATTCTTAGAAAACATGAACATAGAAGATTTTTCCATATTTTGTGTCTTCTTTATTTCTTTCTTTAATGATTTAATTATCATAAATATTTGGTGTCCTTGGTTGAATTTTTTCCAAGGCATTTGAATTTTTTTGCAGCTATTCTAAATGGGATTGATCTTAGAAGTTCTTTCTTGGCCAGCACCGTGGCTCACTAGGCTAATCCTCCACCTGCGGTGCTGGCTCGCTAGGTTCTAGTCCAGATTGGAGTGACAGATTCTGTCCCAGTTGCTCCTCTTCCAGTCCAGCTCTCTGCTGTGGCCTGGGAAGGCAGTAGAGGATGGCCCAAGTCCTTGGGCCCTGCACCCGCATGGGAGACCAGGAGGAAGCACCTGGTTCCTGGGTTCCAATCGGTGCAGCATGCTGGCAGTAGCAGCCATTTGGTGGGTGAACCAACGGAAGGAAGATCTTTCTCTCTGTCTCTCTCTCTCTCACTGTCTAACTCTGCCTGTCAAAAAAAAAAAAGTTTTTTTCTTAGCCATGGAATTCTCTGTGTATACAAAAGCTGTTGATTTTTATGAGTTGATTTTATATCCTGTAACTTTACCAAACTTTTTTATGAGTTCCAATAGCCTTTAGTTGGGTCTTTTGGATCTCCTATATATAAAATCCAGTCATCCACAAATAGTGATAGTTCGACTTCCTCCTTCCCAATTTGTATCCTTTTAATTTTTTTTCTTGCCTAATGACTCTACTAAAACTTCTAGGTCTATATTGAATAGCAATGGTGAGAGTGGACATCCTTGTCTGGTTCTAGATCTTAATGGGAATGTTTCTAACATTTCCCTTTTCAATAGGATGCTGGCTGTGGTTTTGTTATAGATTTCCTTGATTGTGTTGAGGAATGTTTCTTCTATACCCATTTGCTTAAAGTTTTCATCATGAAAAGATGTTATATCTTATCAAATGACTTCTCTGCATCTATTGTGATAATCAGGTGGTTTTTATTCTTCAGTTTGTTAATGTTATGTATCACTTTTATTGATTTGTGAATGATGAACCATCCCTGCATACCAGGGATAAATCACATTTGGTCCAGGTGAATGATCTTTCTGATGTGTTGTTGGATTCGATTGGATAGTATTTTGTTGAGAATTTTTGTGTCTATTTTCATCAGGGAAATTGATCTTTAATTCTCTTTCTCTGTGTATCTTTATCAGATTTAGGAATTTAGGTGATGTTGGATTCATAGAAGGAGTTAGGAAGGATTCCCCTCTTTTCAATTGTTTTGAATTGCTTGAGAAGAATTGGAGTTAGCTCTTCTGTAAATGTCTCGTAGAATTCAGCAGTGAAACCATCTGGCCCTGGGATTGTCTTTGTTGGGAGGGTTTTTATTACTTATTCAATTTCCATCTTGGTTATTGGTATGTTTAGGTTTTCTTTTTTTTCATGTCTCAATTTGGGTAGGTTATATGTGTCTGGGAATCTATTTCTTCTAGCTTTCCCAATTTGTTGACATACAGCTCTTTATATTAATTTCTCATGGTTATTTTTATATCTGTGGTATCTGTTGTTATGTTTCATTTTCTCATCTCTGATTTTATTGGTTTGGGTTTTCCTTGCCTCTTTTAGCAGTTTATTTATTAAGGTCTATTTTGTATGATATTAGGATGGCTACCTCAGTTCTTTTTGGTTTCTGTTAGAATGGAATATCTTTTTCCATCCTTTCACTTTCAGTCTGCATGTATCTTTGTTGGTGAGATGTGTTTCCTCTAGGCAGCATATTGATGGTTCTTGTTTTTTAATCAATTCTGCCAATCTGTATCTTTTAACTGAGAGTTGAGG